ATATATATATATATATATATATATGTTTATGTGTGTGTGTATATGTGTGTATAATGAGTAAAGTCTGTGATGCTCTGTCCTGAGTGCTCTGGACAAATCTGGGTTTATGTTCCAATAAGAAACACAAACACCCTAATTTAAAGTTGGAACATTTTTGATCAAATTGCAGGTAAATGTTCAGCTACATAAAAATGTAACAACCGCCCTTCTGTACTTGACTATTCTTTGAGACTGCAGCTGAAGTATCATGTTGAAAGTATTTATAGACTTCATATTATGTTACCAGAATCCTGCAACACTGAAAGGACGAAAGTGTCTTTGAAAATAAAAGTATTAAATAGTCCAAGTTATACACTCTGATTAAGGTATTTGTAAATGAACACTGTTTTAGCACAACCATATGTACTGTATGTATGTTAGCCTTTTTATTTATTTCTTTCAAAGCCCAGTTTTGCTGTAAATCAGTAAGAATCCTTTTCTCGTGACTCGTGTTATAGTATGTCAATATGCATGTCCTTTATGTGCACTTCATATTCACCCTGAAGAGGAACATCAAGGAGACAAGTCTCTGCTGTTTGCCTCAAGGTGATTCTGTCCTATACTGAGCAACCACTGCTTCGTCTTTCTGATAAAGGACAAAAACAGAGCCCAGATGAGGGAAGTTGAGGAAAAAGGAGATTAAGAGACAGGCAGAGAGAAGGAGAAAGAGGGGAGTGCAAATCGGCATAACAGAAAAGGACAGAGTGAAGTCATTCAAGCTTTTCTTCGTTCTGAATAATCCCAGTTTTGTCCAAATTTAGTTTAAGGAGATTGTGGAACATCCAGTCCTTGACAACAGCCAGAAAGTCAAGTAACAGCAGCAACTTAGAATAGATCTCTGAATGTGTTTCCACCTCTTCATTCCAGCTTTTTTTTTCACTTCTACAGTTTCTCTGTCTGAGGAAGAGACGAAACTTTTCAAAAGATGGAGCAAACTGTAAAAATGTCTAAGAAACAGCAGTAATCTCTATTAGTTGGGATTATATATATCATATGTAAAACCAATGCGTGAGTCAATTCTTGCTTTTGTTGCAGAAGGCAGAATGTAAATGAACAGACTGAAAGGAAACTTTCTTTTTCTGTCTAAGGTTCTGATTCAATTACATTCTCAACTGTGTGCTCATGCTAGCTTTTTCCAATGCTTTCTGGTTCACAGTCGTTTGCTCCATACAGCTGTTTTTAGACGGTCACTGAACCATCAAAAAGAGACAGTTTGCTGTATGATCATTCAGGCCTCTCTTGTAAATGAGTCCCCGAGGCTCAGTGGGACTAACCTGTATAAATGAAGGTTGAATGAATCAAGTAAATCATGTACACCGAGTTAACAGAAGCAAAAGGATGACGAGGCTTTCTTGTCATATAATAGAATGACAATAATGTACTGTGGTTTAAATGTAGGTATTAAACCCTTTTTCTATTTTTTATCAGCATACTGACTCTAATGTGCAAAAGTATATATTTTTTGAAAAGCCTAAATCATAGATAAATAATCCAGACATTATTTTACCTGCAAATTGCTCTTTGGTGCCGTATGTCTTAAGCTTTTACTAATGTACTCCACTTCAACTGCAGCTTGAAGACCCACAAACACAAATATGTAGACGTCTGTGGAAAAATGCTGTGCTAAACAGTCATTTGAGGCGTTTAGGTTTTTATTATTTATTTTTCGTTGCAGTCATGTAAAATCCCAGATGGTGAGGATTTAGGAGTTTCAATCCTCCATCTCTACTTCCTGCAGCTGGGGGTTAGAGGTCACGTACTCAGCCATGTTGGGGAGTCCAGCGATCACACAACAGCTGACGGCACTGCGGAAGATCTCCATATTACAGGCCGAACTCCACACGTTGTTTTCATGGCTGTAGTACTCGACGTTGTAGGTGGTGGTGAAACCGTTGAAGCCCCCGATGACATAGAGGCGATCTTCAACTATTTCAATTCCAAAGTTACTGCGGGGGGTGATCATGGAGGCCACATAGCGCCAGCTATTGGTCTGTGGGTCGTAGGCCTCAACAGACTGCTGGCGGCTGTTGCCATCAAAACCACCAACCTAAAAGAAAGAAATGAAAGTCTAATTACTCGTGTTTGAATATGTGTTGAGACAGTTTTTCAGCCTCTTCCTAAAATAAACCAGTACTTGACTCGAGGTCTGGATGAAAAGTTTTTTTTCTTTCTAAAATGGGCAGTTCAGCTTACCAGTAGTTTTGAGAAATGTGTGTGTTGGTGGCTTTCGCCGTGATTTCTATATACTTCATATGTTTTGTAGAAGTTGTGACTCTTGGTCTATCTTAATTTCTGTTTTATTTAACATCAGCTCGTCTTTGCTCACCCTATACTTCTACTTTGTGTTGAATTGTGTAAAAGTTACAGAATTGTCCACCTTTGATCTAATAATTAGCCCCGGAAATATTTATATTTATTTTTTCTTTTCTTGTCAGTGTATTGTCATGCCGCCTGATTTTGTTCCTGCTTGTTCTACCCCGCCTTGTTATTTTATTTTTATTTTTTATTCAATGTACTTTTACTAGATTTCTATTTGTGGTTTGTAAGTTTCCATTAAAATTTTTGTTACACATAAATGTGTGTTGTAAACTAAACCTCAGTCCTTATGGGAAAAAAATCTCTTTAAAGCAGGTGTTTTATTATTATTTTGAGCTGCATTTCCACTATGCTCAGAGGATTATTCCACTTATTAGGAGACTTTGAGACAAACCCAACCACTGAAAATAGCAAAAAAGTACAGGAAAAGATATCACAAAAGGAAATCTTATACACTGTATCTTCCACCACACGCGTCGCACTGCCCTACAGTATAAGTCGCATCAGTCCAAATTTGTCTAAAAAAGTGGAAAAATCCATAAATATGTCACTTCGCCGTATACGTTGCATCTATTATGCGTCACTGCTGACAAACCGGAAATATGGGCCGGTGTTGTGCCAAAAATCGACAGGCTGCCAAATGGTGGCCGCGGGAGCGTGCACCGTAGGACGTTAACAAGAATTGAACAAGATTAACACTTAAAAACAATTATTTGTTTGCTTGAAATTATAGTAAAGGTGTGTCTCAGTCTACCTTTTGCCTGATAAATGCACTTTGACGGTTAAATCAGCTATATTTCAAAAACCAATACGCGGAAGCGGCGGGCGCGCACAGAGGGATGAGCCTCCACATTTCTTCGAAATTTCACAAGAAAAGCACCTAAAAACAATTATTTGTTTGCTCGTAATTACAAAGTATAATAAAGGTGTGTCTCAGTTTAACTTTTGCTTAATAAATGCACTTTGACAGTCAAATCAGCTGTATTTCAAAAGTATTCACTGCCTCAGTGCTCCGGGAGCGTGCAGACAGAGATGAAAAAAGAAGGAGGCATATTGCTTGTTTCTTTGAAATTTAATAAGAAAAGCACCTAAAATAATTTGTATTTGTTTGCTCAAAATTATAGCAAAGGAGTGTCTCAGTTGAACTTTTACTTCATAAATGCATTTTAATGGTCAAATTAGCTGAATTTCACCGAGGCGGTGCTGCAAAATTAAGCTGATCTCCAAGCAGCAAGCAGAATGAAGGTGGGGAGAATATGGCAAGCCGATTGTGTCTTTAATAGCTGGTGAAGATTCTCAGTCATCCAGGACATGGTAAATTCAAAAAAGTTCAAGACAAAAATAATAAAGTATAATAAATAAAGTCCAGTTGTTTTTTCTTGAACTTTTTTGAATTTGTCATTATAGCCACATTTACCTATTACATGATACAACATCATGCCTTCTGCTACTACTACTCTGCAGCCATCAAGTGACTGAAAGTGGTACTGTTAATTTATTTTTCAGTCAGAATGAATGAAAATGCTCATATCTCAGCCAAAAATTGGTTTATAAATCAGAAAAAAATGCATAAATACATCGCTTCAGCCTATAAGTCGCAGGTCATGTAAATTATGCAAAACATAGTGACTTATGAGCCAAAAAATACGGTACCAAAAGAGATGTCTCAGTTGCAAAAGATTTCCAACACTGTTAAATATGTAAGCTATCCTTAGATACATTTAACTGACATTTTATAATGTACTGCATGTGAATGTATTGTATAATAATTAGAATGACTTTACAGACTTTGGGGTTGAATCTGGACCTGTTTTGGAGTAAATTTGATTTATTATTTAGTAATTTCAAAACTATGTTCTGGTAAAAAGAAACAGGAAAAATGTATTTCTCCTTTGTGTCAAATTTCGGCTATGTCTAGACACACCTGTAGTATAGCGCTAATTTATGTGCGGTAAGCAATTTTTCATGAATGGTTCCTAGACGTAACTCCCTTCATATATGGTAAACATTTCTTCGAGCTCAAAGTCTTTGGGGGAGCTAAGTGGTTGCTGATCATAGACACCATCTTGTTAATCAATTAAATTATCAGTTAGCTGTGGTTACAACATATATCTGATTATCTTTAGGCTTGATGCAGGCAAGCCTCTCAGCAAGTCTGATCAGCTTAAAAGTCCTGCTTATGAAAACATAATCAGTGTAATTTAAACATGTAACCTGTAAGTCAGCAGCATTTCCTGCACTTACTGCATAAACATGGCCTCCATACGCAACAACTCCTATCCCACTGCGCGGGCTATTCATCGGGGCGATCAGTGTCCACTGGTTGGTCTCTGGGTTGTAAAACTCTGCTGTTTCCAGGCACTCCTGTCCATTAAATCCACCACAAATATAAACCTAAAGACAAAAGAATAAAGTAGTAGTATAGATATTTGGAAGTGGGTTTCTGAACAGTTCATATCTTACCTGCTGTAGATAGTTCCTTGAACGGCCACAGTTTAGAGAAAAAAAAACATATTTCTGACCAGACAAATGGGCTAATGAGTTATAAGTGAAAATAAGTGGATTGAGATAATCTTAAAATTCCTCTATTGTATAATAGTTTACGCAAATGTTATTTTAGAAAACTTTACATCACTGTCATTTTGGCATTGCATGGTTATTTACATAAAATTCTACGTAATAAACGTCTAGCCCTGTGGTTATTTCAGCTGAAATATAAAATTTCTGCTGAGATAACCATCAAATGCAAAGAATGCAAAACTGAGGACGATATAATGTGTTATAAAAAGCTTTCACATTGAACTGCTATGAAACCTTCAAGTAAATCATTAGCCATGAGCTTGCAAGTCCTGTTAGAATTAACTTCATTTTTTTAATGAAGGTGATTCCGAGAGCTATCTGCAGTAGATAAGATTTTAGTTGTTCATAAACTTTCCACAAAACTCCACTTCAGAAGCTCTAAACTAACAACATCAATCTAGTCCATCAATTTTCACCCTTGTTTACAACCACCCACCTTGTTCTGTAAGGTTGTGCAGCTCGCATCACTCCTTTGCTCGTGCATCGGTGAAATTATGCTCCACTGGTTGATCTCAGGGCAATAGTACTCTGCTGTGTTGAGTCGATTATGTCCATCATAGCCTCCCAGTGCGTAGATGCACCCATTCAGCACAGTCACGCTCACATAGCAGCGGCGGTAGTACATGGGTGATACCTCGTGCCAGGTGTGCAAGACAGGGTCAAACCTGCGGACACTGTTGAAATGCTCCACCCTGTCAAATCCACCAACACAGTAGATGTAGCCTTTGAGGAAAGTGGTGCCATGATAGGCACGAGGGCGCTCACAATCAATTGTCACATTGGTCCAACGGTCAGCTCGGATATTATACGCTTCGATGCCGTTTGTTGGATCACCACCACTCCAGCCGCCAATGGCCAGAAGTATGGTGGAAGGCAGTCGAGGGCGGGCGATGGAGTTAGAAATGGAACGTAAAGGTGCCCTGTTTGTGACGATCCGTTTAATAGCCTTAATGGCGGTATTGATGATGGACAGGCAGCTTTCGTTACTCTGGACAAGTGCATTCGTCATCACGGTGGTCGTGATGTATGTTATGTCCACCAGGGCTAGTCGGACCTACACCAAAAAAAAAAAAAAACAAGGTCAAGTCAAGTCAAATTTATTTATAAAGCACATTTAAAAACAGCAGCTGTTACCAAAGTGCTTAACAATAAAATTCAATGATAGGAATTTAAATATAAAACAATAATTTAATTAAAAGCATCAAAAGTAAAGCATTAAAACACAAAATAATAAAATACTAAATAAAATCACACTGTGTTAAAAGTCAGTGAAAACAGATGTGTTTTTAAAAAAGATTTAAAAGGAGGAAGTGAAGTGGCCTGTCTAATGTTTTTGGGGCAGATTGTTCCAAAGTTTAGGAGCTGCGACTGGAAAAAGCACAAGCTCCTCTGAGCTTCGACCAAAAGCAGCTGGTCAGATGATCTCAGTGCCCAAGGAGAAACTTAAGATTGAAGTAGGTTAGAGAGATATAAGGTGTGCAAGGCCATTAAGGCACTTATAGGTTATCAGGATAATTTTTTTTAATCTATTCTGTTACATACTGGGAGCCAGTGAAGGGAGGATAAAACTGGTAAAAAGTGCTCAAACCCATGAGTTCCTGTTAAGAACCAAGCTGCAGCATTTGGACAAGTTGGAGACGTGAAAGGGAGACCTGACTGACTGCAACATTAAGCATGTTACAGTAATATAGTCAGGTTGTAATGAAGGCATGGACATTTTTTCGAGGTCAGATCTGGTCAACACAGACTTAAGCTTAGCTATCTGCCCTAACTGGAAGATCCTTTTCTGCAGAGCAGTTTGTTCAACTTTAAATCAGAGTCTAAAACCATCCTGAGATTTGTAACAGATTGCTTAAGATATGGCTGAAGAGAGTCAAGGTTTACAGTAACAGGGACAGCAGTAGAGCTAGGGCTAAACACAGTAACTTCAGTTTTCTGGTCGTTAAAACTTTAAAAAAATTAAGCCATCCATGCCTGAATAGCAAAACATTTTAACAGAGGGTGAATGGAGCAAGAACTACTGGGTTTTAAGGGCAGATAATATGACAATCATCAGCATAACGATGATAATGAAAGGCCACGTTTCCTTAGGATAGACCCCAAAGGGAGCAGATACAGTGAAAACAGAAGGGGTCCAAGAATCTAGCCCTGCAGAATCCCACAGGAAAGAGGCGCTGAAGCAGAAAATATATTACCAACATTAACACAAAATCTCCTGTCACTCAGATAAGAACGGAACCATTCTAATGCTGCACCAGTAATCCCAACCCAGTGTTCTAACTGTGATATAAGGATACTGGGGTCAACAGTATCAAAAGCAGCAATAAGGTCCAGTAGCACAAGTATCACAAACTGACCATTTGCTAAAATAATACCATTATAACACTTACTAAAGCTATTTCGGTGCTGTGTAATTATTTAAAACCAGACTGAAAGATATCAAAAATTCCTTTCTCATTCAAAAACACATTTAATTGAATAAAATCTATTTTCTCCAGGATTTTAGAAAGAAATGGAAGTTTTGAGATTAAAGGCGATATCTGTAAATATAACTTTACGAGCTGCAGTGATGAACGCCAAGTATCCAAACTGTTTAACTCATGTCTTAGCATTTTAAACACAATTAAACCTCAGTGTTTACTGTTCAAATTTATAAATGAACGTCTTCAAAAATGACAGCACATTTTTTTTTTTTTTTATGGTAAGCAAAATGCAAGGAAAAAATAGGTTTTGTTTTAGGCTTATTCCTAAAAAAAATCCAATGATTTATTCCATGTAATCAAAAAGCATGTCCCCAGTATAGCTAGAAAATCACAAGTGTGAGTAAAGACAGAAAAGTGAGAAAGTTTGTCTCGGAGGAAAAACATTCAGGCTTGCAGCCCCTAGTGACACTATAAGGAGATAAGCATTGCTCCCAGCTAGCAAACAGATCTGTCTGAGCTTCTCTCTGTCACTCCACTGAGCTTCCACTGAGTGACAGAGAGGATTTAAAAGATACAGCCACCGCAATGCTGCTCAGTAGGTTTGCGGATATCATTTTAAATCCTTAAGATTGTTATTTAGTCTTTGCTATCATAGTTTTTTAGAACCAGGAGTGACTTGCAAGAGATGGATCTGCCTATCAACACTGTGAGATGCTGCTATTCAAGTCACAGAGTTGTGGTCAAGATTTTCAGGTGTCACTTTATGCTGCAACCATAAAATTGAAACTGATGTTGGAGTGAAGTGAATTATTCAGAAGCAAAAAGGAAAAAAAAAAAAAGTAGTGTGGAAGAATTTACCCTTCAGCACTAAGAAGCATGTCATTATATATATATATATATATATAAATATGTGTCCATACAGTAATCCCTCGCTACTTCGCGGTTCGTTTATTGCAGATTCGCTCTAACGCAGTTTTTCAAAATAAGATTGGACAGAACACACAATTGGCTGACTGATGGATGAGCCGCACGATCGGCATGAAATTTTTATTTAAAATAAATTATTTCAAATTATTTAGCACCTGCTGCACGTTTGTGCAGCCCAGAGAAACATGAAAAGCTTCCTCCTGCTGATTTGTGTAGCCCTTACTGCTGCAGGATAAACTTCCTGCTACAGTTGAACAGCTGATCAGCTGTTCTCTGAGAAGTGGGCGTGGCCAAGAGCGCTTGCAGGTGGCAAAGAGCAGAGGAGGCAGAGAGCTGAAATCATGACATTCTGTGCTCTTTTAGAGCGTTTAGAGTTTAGAAACATTATATGTACGTAGATCGGAAGATATATATATATATATATATATATATATATATATATATATGTATGGTAAGGTATTATATGTTCATAACTTTTGTACAAAAACTAACTCCGGGCTGTCCAATCCTGGTCCTTGAAGGCTGCCATCCTGCATGTTTTACTTGCGTCCCTGCTCTAACACACTGGATTCAATGCTTAAATGACCTCTTCATGTTCTACAGAAACCTGTTAATCACCCATAGATTCAAACCAGGTGTGTTGGAGCAGAGAAACTTCTAACACATACAGTATGACGGCCTTTGTGGACCAGGATTTGGCACCACTGAACTAACTTCAAATAAAGCAGAGGGGTATATAGGGGCTATTTTGTAGCAAAAGAGTGCAGGGAGTTGAGGCTTTAGGTTTTATAGACCAACTCTTTAGATCGAAACAAATTTAACCTACACAACAATGTCATTCCCAAATACATCAGTTGCAATGCAGTTTTCATATACTGTCTTCCAAATTCCACAAAACTTGTAACATGAGTAAAATATGAATAAAAAAACAGAACATAATGTTCTATTAAGAACGATGTTCTGAAATTATTCCACACTTTGTAGAAGCAGTGAACCCATCTTTACTTCTAAGAGATTCAGCCATTCAGAATGACCTACTTTTCCCCTAAAACTGTACAATTTCTTACTTTAAACATTTTGATATATTTACTATTATTTTGAAAATAAAACATAGCATTATTTATATAAAAATAGTATATTTTCATAAAATATATTTGCATATCCTTGTCTTCTGTTTTTATTTACAAGTTACACAACATCCCACCTTTTTGGGAATAGGGGTTGTAGTAATATGAGGACATTTTATCCATTGTAGCTCACTGGTTTGTGTTTCTCAGTTTTAAATGGTGAAAAACAAATTTACAAACATGGACTTGGCACCATTAAATAAGGGTTGACCACAATCCTGCTTTTTATGCCTAAAATTTCAGTAGTGCACCAAAACTGCTTGTTATCAAGTCCAGGCACTTGTTTCCCTTCTTAAAACTTGTCTCCCACCAGATTTGTTGTACATTTTCAGGCATTTTGTTTTGTTCTTTGCTAACAGGCTGCGCTAAACTCTTGGTTTAATTACCCACACCGATTCCCTCCAAAATAAGTTTTCATCTGCTTTCAAGGGAGGGGGAAAAAAGCAGTGAAATGTTGTTTCTGATAGATTAGGTCCAGTTGTTTCACTTATCTGTTTACGACACCAGAGTGTATAGAGATAATTTCAAAAGGTGAAACTGAACTGCGGACATCAAACCCCCTAAAGTCAGCAGACATTCATTCTAATTTTAACTTGACAAATGCAGCTTTACAGTACAGCACAAACTTCAAGCTGGTAGTGTGAATGACAAACTAAATTTAGTCATAACAGTGATCATACCTTCTTCAAGAGAATGTGGAAGTGCCTCTCTCGTTCTTCAGGAGTGTGGTCAATCCATCTAAGAATGGCTTCAAAAACGATGTTCTCTTGTCGCACATTGAGGTTGTCTTGCTTGATGATATCAATTAGTTCCTCCACAGAAAGCAGCAGGAATTCGTCACAAAGACACACCTTCTCAAAGTGCTCGAGGATGTAGCGAAAGGCCTTGCAGCGCAGCTCAGTGTGAAAACACACATTGGTGAACTTCCAGATGCTGATGCAGTTGTTTAGTTGCAGCAGCTCTATGAGGAAGTTGGAGCAGGCCTCTATGACCTCCAGTATGTTGAACTGATCGGCCGCAAGCAGAATTTCCTGCACGTTGTTCTCCGTGATGGGCAAAGAGCCTGTGTACACATAGTCCAGGATCAGCCGCATGGTGTCGGGACACATGCCTTCTATGGAGTAAATTGTTTGCTCTTGTTTGGACCACCTTGTGAATAAAGCTCTGAAAAAATAAACGCATGATGAATAATCTCATTTTCTCCATTGTTAGCACTTTGAAAACAGATGCAACCAGAAAATCAGTGCGAATGCTGAGTAACCTTGTTTAAGTTTGCAGAAGAAGAAGCTGAAACTTGGTTGTTAAAATGGAAACAAGAAGAACAGAAACTTAGAAGAGCCAAGCAGAAGCTGAAAGAAGCAAAACATTAGCTAAGACAAATGCTAACAAGAGCTAGAAAGCAAAATGATCCTTATAAGCTAACATGTGCAAAATAAACGCAAACTTCTTTAAAAGTCTAAACATTAGCAATAAAAGGTGCAAAGAATAGCTAAATGATAAAAAAAAAAAAAAAAAAAGATAGTTGTAAGCTAACGGGTGTAAATAGCCAAATGCTAAAAAAAAAAAAAGCTAACAATAGCGATAAGCCAACTGGCACAAATAATAGCAAAATGCTAAAAAAAAAGAAAGAAAAATGGCAAATGATAGCTGTAAGCTAAAAGGTGCAAATAAAAGCCAAATGCAAAAAAAATAATAAAACACTAACAATAGCTATAAGCTAACAGGTGCAAAGGATAGCCAAGTGCTAAAAAAGCAGATGAGAGTCGTAAGCTAACAGGTGCAAATAAAAGCCAAATGCTAAAAAAAAAAAAAAAAAAGCCATGAGCTAACTGGTGCAAATACTGGCTAAATGCTAAAAAAAAAAAAGAAAAAAAAAAAGGCATACAATAAATATAAGCTAACAGGTGCAAAATGATAACCAAGCACTAAACAGAGCAGAGTGATAGCTGTAAGCTTACAGGAGTAAAATGATAGCTAAATACTATAAAGAGCAAAACAATAGCCATAACCTAACAGGAACAAAACTGTAACCAAATGCTAAAAGAAACAGCATCATAGCAAAATGTTTAAAGTAAAAAAAATAAATGAAAAAAAACTGAAAATTGAACACAACAAATTTTCGGCAACCTAAAACATATATTTGAATCTTAGCTGGCTTTTTGTTTTCTTTCTTTCTTTCTTTTTTTTTTTTTTTTTCAAACGTTGGGCTTTCTGAGATCTCTCCACATGATTTATTAATGTTCAGTGTCTAATTAAATTTTAGGGTCTGTTGAATTTTTATAGTAAAACCATCAACATAAAATCACAGACAGATGAATTGTCAGTTTATGTCAGTATTTGTCAGTTTATGCACTGTGCTAACCTTGGGCGCTTATCTGGCCTGCGTCAGATTAGACAAAATTATTAATATGTGCTGTAGCTGACTGTTGTGAGGTAGAAAAAAACTAAAACTAGAATCTTAACTCTTTTAGTAGTTAGTAGTGGTTACTGATTAAGGCATCTGGATCTGGAGAACAAAAGACCATCTCAAGCTTTACGTTAGATTTAATTATTTTTCAATCTGGAGTTCCTTAAGTGTTCTTTTTAAATCACTCACTCAAAATCTTGTTTTATGGTTATTAAATATATTTACGAGACAAACCTGTTTCAGAAAAATAAACTAAAATAAAACAATGGTGACTCAGCATTGCCCTGTCCTTTAAATATTGAAACTATTGATTCTTATACTCAAATATTTTAACAACACAAAAAATGCATATCTGCTCACTAAAGCAATGTAATTTAATCAGTTTCACAATTCAAATCCTAAGATCAACTCACCGGAAGTATGATGTAACGTTACAGAGGATAATCTTGTGGACTGGAAACTCATCATCCCCCACCTTGAGTACTGCGTCAGTAAGTGTTCCCTCCATACGGAGTTCATTGTACACCGAGCTCACTTGGTTGGAAGGCTGGCCTTGTCCACTCATCTTGAAATTTGGCAATTTGAATTTTTTTTTCTTATTTGTTTCTAATTGAATGTGGCTTCCGTTCAGGCCAGCTATAGAGTGAGCGAACACTTACAGCCTCTTATTGATGGTAATGACGTTCCTAGAATGAAAACGACCAGTGAAATTAAAGTTCCATTTTGGATTTACATTTAACAATCCCATTCTGCAGCAACAACTCAGGCTTGAACAATCCCCAGAGCGAAAACAAAAAACATCAGGCATTCTTCATGGTATCATACTTTCCTAACAATTTTAATTTAATCATCTTTTTAAACATAAAAATTGTTTTAGAAAAATGTTATGGCGATATCAGGGCAATTCCACAATCCTATTCCCTGAATTACAACGCAGCTCCTTCAGACTGGTTCTAAAAGGAGGTTTTAAAAACATTTCCATTCCCTTAAGTTTATATTGACTCTTTTTTTTTTTTTAACAAATTTTAACTGAATATTTGGGGGTAATATTTTTGATGAGCTTTATACATAACTTGTAAAATACTATATTCAACCAAATCATAAATTTTTTATAATTTCAATTGATGAAATAATATATTTATTGGGTGACCATAGCACTTCCTACTAATAATTCTTATAGCTCTTTTTTTGTAAAAATGAAAATAGGGTTTGTAATTGTTTTGCATGATTTTCCCCAAACTTCAATACATAATATTAAATATGGAACAATCATTATATTATACAGTACATACAAAGCTTTGTCATTCAGAAACTCTTTTACTTCAATTGATTTTGCTGTTTTTATTCTTAAGTAATTTACATGAGGTTTCCATGTCAGCTTCTCATCACTAACGACACCCAAAAACTTTATTTCATTAACTCTATGAATTTCATTACTGTCAGTTTTAAATGGGACTTCGATCATTTTATTTCTATTGCTAAATATCATGTAGTTTGTTTTCTCCAAATTTAATAACTTATTAAGTTGGAACCGAGTTTGTATTTTTACGAATTCTGCCTGTATCATCTCTAACATCTGTTCAATATCTTCACCCGAACCAAAAAATGTGGTATCATCTGCAAATAAAACACACTTCAAAAGCCCCGACACATCAACAAGATCATTCACATACAAAATAAACAACTTTGGTCCCAACACAGAGCCCTGAGGAACTCCACATCCATTAACACAAAATTCAAATCTTACATCTTTTACCTGTACAAATTTAGTGCTAATCCTCTAATGTCATATTAATTCAGTTGTTCAAGGAGAATGGCGTGGTCACTAGTGTCAAAGGCCTTTTTAAAATCAACAAAAACACTAACACAATACTGTTTTTGATCAAGAGCAGTTATTATTTCTTCTATTAGTTCCATGAGAGCCATTGATGTTGAATTATTTGCTCTAAACCCATATTGACTATTACTAAAAATATTATATTTTTCTATAAATTGATCTAATCTGGTTACAAATAATTTCTCTAATATTTTTGAAAATTGTGGCAACAAGAATATTGGTCTGTAATTAGTGAACACACATTTCACACTATTCTTATAAAAAGGAACTGTCTTTGCTATTTTCATATTTTCTGGACATTTTCCTGTTGAAAACGATAATTTACATATATATGTAAATGGTTCAATAACATAACTCATTATATCCTTTACAAACATCATGTCCATGTCCATCCAGTCTTTTGATCTTTTATCTGCAAGATTTTTTTTACAATACTCAGAATTTCTTCTTTATCAATGTCACCAAGAAAAATGCTGTTGGCACAACCCATGACTGTATGACTCACATCATTATTTACGTTTGATATTTTAGCTGCAAGACTTGGGCCAACATTCACATAATATTCAATGAATTAATTTACTATTTCATTTTGATCATAGATTTTCTTGTCATCTTTTACAAAATGCTTTGAAATACCTGATCGTACATTATGATTTTTCAAAACACTATTCATTTTGTAATTTTCTCTCAATAAGCCTATACTTCCCGCTCATAACGACTATATAATTTCCCTTATATAGATATAAGGGAAATATATATTTTCCTTATATAATTTCCCTATGGGATTAATAAAGTATTTTTGAATTGAATTGACTACATTTCCCAGAAGCCAACAGGGCCCCACCCAGAAGCCCCGTTTCCTTTTGTTGTAAAACTAGAGGGAAAGTTTTAATCTGATTGGAAAAAGTTGGGCACTTATTACAGTGACTTTGGCGCCCAGCGGATGCAGAGAAACCACATGGAACCCAGCAAACTGGACCAGAACTAGACCCCCAGACCATCGGTGAATTTTGAGAGATGGTAGCCTGCCCACATGGACCTCCAAGCAGGAACGTGCACCAAAGGTCCAGTGCTCCATCCAGAGCCCACCGGCACGTTCTTCATCTCTTTCAACCAGCCCACGTGGACCTCCGAGCAGGGATGCGCTGGTACGTAAAATTTAGAAGCTACTGTACATATACAGTAAGTATATTGTTAAATTAGTAGGTTTAAGAGTTTGGAACGTTGATTGTGGGCTTTGTTGCTGCAGGGCAAGTCTGCAGAAAGGAACCGAGTCAGAGCAGAACAAAGTCGGACCGGAACGAGAACCGCTTCTGTTCTGCAGAGCCTGGTGAGTAAAATTTAGAAGCTACATATACAGTACTGTACTTAAGTTGTTAAAATGATATAGATTTAAGAGTTTAGAACATTGCAAGATTGTGGGAAGGATTTCTAAAGCCTTAAAATATATATAAATACTAAAATAAATATAATGTTGCTACTTTGTGGGTTTTCACTTATTGTGGGGGGATTTGGAACCTAACACCTGCAATAAATGAGGGACTAGTGTATATAAAGGCTGAATTGAATGGAAACGGTTATAATATCATATTGAACCTATCCAGACTGTTTTATACCACCATGATGGAGGGCATTTAGACGTGTTGTCTACAGCTACATGTATTAGGCATAGCATTAGCACACATTGTTGGTTGTTTAGATATTATTCTCACATGCTAAACAACTATTTGGTTGAGTTTAAAGGTAACTTTCCCACTTTTAATACAAATCTGTGCAATTTATGTCAGAGAAACCCATATTCTACGACTATATGAGAGACAGTGTATCGGAACATTGTATGATTCCTGTCAAAATTTCCCAAGAATCCTCAAAATAGTTGTGTTAAGGTTAACAATAGCCTGATTGATTATCAGGAGAGCAAAAACTGAGCAAGTTTGCTAAAGTAGAGTTCAAGGAAAACAGCGTCTTTAGAAGACATTGAGACCTAAATGTATTTCCATAGGGAAATATTTTTAACTAAAGTTCAAAAACAGTCCTAGCAATCATTTTCTATGTTGAGCTGATTGTTTTGACATATTAATGGCTAACATAGCACAAAGTATGCATAAGTAGTTAAAATGCAAAAAAACAGAAAAACGATTATTGTGTATCAATTACAATGTAGAAAAAAACAATGTTTTAAAAATAATTAGTGTTAGTACACTTACCCTCAGTGAGTGAATTAATGAAAATTGTTTTAACACTTAAAAACACGTTTTGTTTGTTCCGGTGTGCCAACAAACAACATCACAGTTATATGTTAAAAAGCACATGAATGGGTTATTTTGTTCTCCAGTACCAGTGCATGAATGTCTCCTCGGCAACTGGTGTGCCGGTGCATGCGGGGCTGGTGGGGGTTTGAGTCCTGGATGGGGGCTTCAGAAACTGATGTGCCTGCAGGGGCACTGCTGTCAGCCAAGTGTCTAAGTGGACACCTGTCAGTGCCGTCTCCCTAATTATTTCTTGAATTCTCAGGTCTGCTTGGGTCTCCTCTGCCAAACCCCCCCAAGCTGTCCTCCTACAGTTGTCACTGTGAAGGGAATTCTAGCTGCTTTTTTCTGTTCTAACTCAGCAAAAACCCTTGTCTGAGTCCCAAACTGCTGCACATTTAGTACATTATCTGGTTGTTTTATTTAGCTTATTTGTACTTTTTTGACCTAAGGTTAAACCAAGTGTGTATTTGAAATTATTCAGCAAAATCATAAGCTTTTCATTGAATGCCAAGAACTACAAATATGATGTTTTACTTTCAGGTGCTTCCTCTGGAAGATTACCTGAAAATTATATCTACAGACATTTCAAGTTTTGTGACTTCAAATGCAACATCAGTCAGGAAAAACTGCATAAATTCCATTTCATGTCATAAAACTAAATACAGTCATATTGGCCATTTTTTCCCCTCCCACATCTTCATTTCTTGTGCACTTCCTGTGTGAAATAATCAAGTATATTCATGTTTTACTATAATTCTCTCTGAACAATCATCTGAGTGTCTCTCAGTTATAAATATGACATAATGAATCTGTCTGTGAATACTCAGAAATTTTAACATCCATAAGGGATAAATAAAGATAACAACTGCCATAGATTGTAAGAATAAGAGAGATATGACTAGACTCTAATGAAGATGTATGCTCTCAGTGCAAATTATTGTTTGTGAGGGGGGAAAAGGACTTATTAGGATCTAAATAGCCTCTAAACAGCTTATGTGCAAGCAATGAAATAAAAACTACATTTACTTGTCAGGTAAAATTCATTCAACTGATATTGGTTAATTGTCCTTATCATGTCATGAATCTATCTGCCATTAAAACACGCCACAGGTTCATAAATAATCTCCAGACCGAGCTGAACTGCAGTGTTTTTTTGTGCCATTTATTCGTAACAAAAATGTAAGATTGCACTTTTTCACGTGACAGTGATGCAAATGTCTTGACAAATGTTTCCGCTCGTGTCCGAACACTTCAGCTCGTCGCCGACTTCCGGAGCTGAAAAGCTCCTTTGACTTCTGACCTTTGTGTGAACAGCCTGCAGCCCGAGTCGACTTTGCAACAAAGTCAGAACTGAAAAAGTCTTTGTCAAACGCATTGACCCAGTTATGGAAAGAGTCTAAAATCACATAGAATTGCCCATCAGCCACAGTTTAGAGCAAAATAAGTCAAGACCTCCTGACATTTTGCAAATAACAC